GCCGTACGGGCCGTACTCCGGGGGGGCGGGGCGGGAGTCCGGGCCGCTCTCTTCCTCTCTCCTTCTCTGTCACTCTCTCACTCTACCACTCTCTCTCTCTCTCTGCCGCCCGCGTCGGCACCGTGTGCTGCTCACGGCGCGGCTCTGGACCGACTGAGCGAGCGCGCGGAGCGGGCCGCCAGGACGAGAGCGGCGCTAGCGCCACGCCGCCGAGCCGGCCCGGCCCGGCGCGGACCTCTCTCCCTCGCTCTCCCTTTCGCTCCCTCCCTCCCGCTCGCCGCACACCTTTCTCCCCTGGCGCGGGGCGGCGCCGGCGCCAACGGGGGAGACGGCAGGGTCGCGGGAGGGAAGAGAGACAAGGGAGATTACGGGCGTGATATTGAGAACGTTTTAGTTTAACGCGTTGAACGAACGCTTACCCCCACTACAGGCGTGACGGAGAGGCGGGAAGCTCTCGGCCAATCGGTAACGTTTATTTTCTACCCGCTTTTCTTCTTCCTCCGTCCGTTAGTCGAAATACACTATTTGTACCGGAGCGGTGGGGGGGTAGGCGGCGCAGCAGGACCTCGTCTCATGGGGCACACGAGGCTGCCCCCGCGAAGGGAGGAGGGGCGAACAGCCCCGCCGGGTAGTCGCGCCCCGAGGGGAGCCCCGCGGCCCGGCGCGACCGGCTCTTCCTCAAACACAACACACTTCCCGCGTCGCTCTGACCGCGCCATCTCTCATACCTCATACGCCACAGTGGAGCGGGCCGCGAGCTGTTCCTCGGGCCAGGCCCGGGCGGGGCGATCGGGCGAGATGCCAGCGCAAAAGCGATTGGGAGTGACTGGTTCGACAGAGGGCAAGGTTACGGCCCAGCCCAGCGGGGCGCGGGACGGGCACTCAGCAGAGATGAGTCTCCTACTTGGAAGACCACTTCCTGAGTGTTTAAGATGCAACGACATTGCAGAGAAAAATAAATAGAAACGATTTGCAAACCTCTAGGCGATGATATGGGAATCCTGGAATTATCATCGGCCGCGGTTGGGTCACTGTGACAGACCGCTTTTCGGTGGCATAGCTCAGTGCCGACAAGCACTCAGCAAACACTTTGCGACAACCACACCCAAACTACGCAACAGTTACAACGGTCGCCAACGCCGCCATGCAAGGTACTTTGTCCTGCCACGCACAAGGTACTTTTTGCTGCCACGCGCCGGGCCCAACCAGTCACATTTTTATGCGGAACAGCTAGAAAACCCTGATAACGAGGTCTAGGCGCCCCTCACTGGGCGCCGGCCGCCGACTCGACGACGTGCTAACCCTACCTACACTGTGTAACAGGGCCGCTCGCGTCGCTCTTGTCCTTGTCCCCTGACCAATCAGGAACTCCCTGCCGATATGACAGGGACAGGGACGGAGGGGGCTCCCTCCCCCCCCCCAACCTCCTTGGCGGCCCCGTCAACATATTTGAGAAGAGAACGAAACACGCCGCAAAGCCGAGTTACATTTCTCAAAAAGAAACAGTTGTTTCCCGCCTGCACGTTTGCTCTCGTGCGGACGTGAACACGCAGGACTAGCGTTGGTTCACCCGTTCAGACGCACGCGCCGCGGCCTGATGGTCGCGCATAGTCACGCCGCGCTGGGACCTGAACTGGTTACGGTTGTCGTCGAAGCCTCCCGCACGAGATCTTCTACGGGGTCCTCGTCTGGTCGTGGTCGCTGTCTCCCTGCCCGGCGCGACAGAGGGGTGGAGGGTGAACGTTTAAGATCGCCGTTGACGGCCACTCTGCTATCCCCGAGGCTCCCTGAAGCCCACGACGACGCGGACCTCCCGGAGGCCAGACGTGATCGCCGATGTCCGTTATCACTTGGATTCGCGTGTGCCGGTTCGTTCGTACTCACTACGCTGGCCAGGGACGGCGGCCACTCCGAGTCCATGGCGCGCGGGTCACTGCGGCGAGGCTGTCCCGAGCTGGCGGAGCTGCTCGCGGAGCTGGCCCTGGACAGCGCCGCTCTCAATCAGTGGGCTGGGCGGGTCCTGGACCGACACTTGGCTTGACCGGGGGGGCCGAGCCGACACTTCCCCCTCCCTCAACCTCCCTTCCTCCCCCCACCCGCGCACTGTCTCGCGCGCAGCGGCGGCGGTGGCAGCGGCGGCAGCGCGGAGCGTCAGCTGGCGAGAGGGCGGAAATCAATTGCATGTCAGCGAATCAGTTGTCCGCTCTGATCCTCAGCACGCGAAGCCGCTCATACCGAGAAGTTTGAAATGTTTGGCGGGTAAGTTTACAGATGTTTAAAATGGATTTAGCGAAAGTGCACGTTCGCAGTTTATCTCAACGAATCATCATAACATTTCCACATTACTTCATTATTTTAAATTTTAAGTCCTATCTGATGTCGTGCAGCCATCCCCGCCCGTGCTGCACCCCACCCCCCAACCCTTCCGCTGCCGCTGGGGGGTTCAGGAACACACACTAAGAAAATAAGATTGTCCCCTAGAACAAGACAGTTGTCTATTGCGTCGTATTTTGATCCAAGCACTAAACATTTAGTTCCTGCAATCAGAAACTTTGGTGAGAGGCAATGAACATGTGAGGCCAGGTAAAAAACGTTAACACTTCGTGTAAACTGCGAAACGAACCCCTAATGATGAAAACTAAATTATACATCCTAATGTTAACAAAGAAGTTAACATTTTCAGTTGTACGGGATGTAACAGCGTTGTAAGTTAGCCTATGCTCTCAGCCCATGTCTTGCGTCATGGCCCCTGCAGCATGAAATGGTATGCCGACCCGCAACACTGAACATAGAGGTGTTCGCTCTGACCAAGGCACTGACCACGACCACCTGGAACGTTTATTGAAACTATATTGTCGGTGTGGTAGCATGAATGTGTGCACCGCAAAAACATGGAAGAAAGTTCGGTTGACACCAGAAAGCTTGGTCGCTGGAACATTTCTAGAAATTTACTTCATTTCGCTCTCTGTTTTGGGTACACTCAACAAAGGGGCAGTGGACGGTGGGCGGGGCCTTGAGCACAGTGTCGATTGTTGGCGGTACTGAGGTAATGTGGAATTGCACTCCAACAGGTGGTCGCGGCGACATGACGCTCTGGCCCCCCGCGCGCGGCGCGTGTGGTAGAAACGGGTTCGTTTAAAAAAAACTTTTGTCCTTAGAGCAATTTGTTTAGTGCGTCAAAAACTTTTGGTCTGGGGACTAAAAGTCCAGTAGCCATAGGACTAAAAAAAATTCTTAGTTCAAGTTCTTCACAAACTTCCCCAAGAAGACAGTTGGCGAGGGGGTACAGTAGTACAGCAACAACTCACGCAATATAAGTTACCTGGTCGAAGTATTGTGCGTGATAAATGTAATACCAAACAATCCGAAAAATTCAAAACATGCTCGAAAATTGTGAGATTTTATCGTAATTACCGGCGTGATGATACATCGTAGTAGTAGTAGTCCCTAGACCTAAATTCGGAGTCGTTACCCCCTCGACAGGTGGTGTCGGAAATCTTTCATCGCGAGCGAAGGTCGTCCAATTTCAGACAATGGCTCGGCTGCTGACGCTTTGCTGCGACCACCCGCCACGGGCCCGGGCCGGGCAGCCATAGGCAGTAAAACCAATCGTTTTAGCCTCGCCTTGAGGCGGCGCGAGCCCCAGCGCGAGCGGCGGCGCCCAGGGTGCGGGGGAAACAACACCATTTCTAAAAACGCCTTCCATTTTATGGGGGGGAGCAGCTTCATAGCGCCGGGCTGCTTTTCAGTTCAGCCGAAGCCGTTGCAGCCACCCTCCTCCCCACCGTTTCCCATTCCCCCGCTGCTTCCGCGTCGAGCATGAAGAGATGTCGATGAGTTTGAATCGCTGCTAAACGCGACAGACAGTGAGACAGACAGAGAGACAGAGAGACAGATAGATAGATAGACAGACAGACAGACAATGGATGGATGGGATGGATGGATGGATGGATGGATGGATGGATGGATGGATGGATGGATGGATGGATGGATGGATGGATGGATGGATGGATGGATGGATGGATGG